GCTGCGGATGGGATGTGAGATTATAGAGGGTATAGCTCACCCTGCACAATCATCTAAGTGAAACAGCATGCAAGGCAGTACACAAGCCTGGCTTTGGGTTAATAGCAAGGCAACAGACCAACTGCAATAAACAGCATTTGGAGATCAAATAGACAAAATAGCGCTCTAAAGTAAGCTCACAATTTGATAATCTTTCATGGTAGCATGCGGAGGTTGACTAACGAGCAACCAAATTGTCATCAGATTCACTAGTAGCTAGTGAATATTAAGCAAGATAGATAACGAAAGAAGCAACCGACAGGCTGAACAGGCAAGAAGAGCAACTCTTGACCGAGCCAACAGACTACAACGTCGGAACCAAGAGCAAGAACGGAGAAGGCAGCGGTACGAAGCAGTGATAGCAGCACCGAATCCACAACCAACGATGGCGGCAGCACTCACCATCACGCAAGAAGAACTTAAGGCGATTATGCGAGAAGCAATGCAAGCGGCATTGTCTCAAGTTAATCCAGCCACAACCCCTACGTTTAGCGCCGTCCCAGGAGGAGGAGATCAGACCAAAGCATGGGACCTAACGTCAGACAAAGGAATGAAGTATTTTGCACAAGCAACTAAAGCACCAGATACTCTTTTTGATGTACAATCGAAAAGCTACACCACTTCCTAGGGCTCGTCAAGAAGCGAGCAACGACCTACGGCATGATGTCAGTAATTGGAAACATCGGCGTAGGACGATAAAGTCTCGGACGAGAGCTCTGATCCGGTCAGAGAATAGCTCCAACAGCTATGCTGGCTACAGCTCCAGCACCACAGCTGGCTTATCTCCAGCAAAGCAGCAAGAAAGGATCGTCCTTTCACCATATTAAGAAAATATACGAAAGATTGAGACCGATCCTGATTAGTTGTAGCCCCTTTGATACCGCAGCAGTTGATACCATCCTGTTGAGGCCGGGCAGAAGCAGTAGGAGGTAGCGATAGTACTGTCCCAGACTGCCTGCACGATTGAATCGAAGGCCCCCACTCCTGAGGTGAGCTGGCCCAAAGGGTCCACAGAGAGCTCTGCTGGCCTCCTGTCTGAATGACAGGGCCAAGTCCTGCTTGGTCTGGTGCCTACGGAGGTGTTGACACTCTAGCGCCACAGCTCCCACCTGCCTGACTACCGCTGTACCCGAGAAGGGTTTCAGCGAGGTCCAGTCCACACTTGAGTATGGAACTGATCCTTCTAGAAACTGCTGGATCTCCCCAGCTTCTACATTGGATTAACAGTCGCATAGATTTCAGGCAGTTTCTTAAAAGGGAAGAAGAGACCTCCTTGACGAGAAAAGGATCTCTTCGAATTACACTACAATATATTGGTCTACAGTTGGATTCATTGAATTTCATTGGAATTTGAAGTGCACTTCGAAGCCACATTCGAAGTCCTAAGTCAACAACCTTCTGGTCAATTTGATACTTCCACCACCACCACGGTGACAAGCACCTTCAGTCTTGCATACACCAATCTACAACTCCAACAAAAGCCATTGCCATAGAAAGGGACCTACAAGAGCCACCATCTGACCGACGCCATTGCGGATAATAGCGTACAAAACAGCCAATTCGCTCGAAGAAGAAAGCTAGGCGTTCTGTACTGGTCCCGTAACAAACACCTACTGGATCTCCGGAGAACACGCGACTTATTAGCTTGCACCATTTCTGGCAATCGTGCAAGTCTTTTACGTCCGAAGAGCAACCATTGTTTATAACGCTAACAGCACTATCTCTTTGCACGGGCTTATCGCTTCCAACGAATTACGTGTTTATTGGTATTTCCGAGGCTTATATCTTTGGTGATTCCACGGAACGTGCATCAGCCTTGTGCAGTTTTGAGTGTCACGAGTTTCCGTCCTGTGCGTGACGATTTCACGGAAGCGTCAGCCAATCAGATCATCCGTGCAGTTTTCGAAGCACCTGACCTTGTATTTATTGATCGTGCACTGATCACGCCCGGAACTTCCTGTTCTTTTTCGATCCTGGATTTGAAGACTATACGGCAACGTCCGCGACCGGTCCTTATCGGCAAGGTCCCCGATCGAAAGAGGCTCAGCTACGTAAGCTCGCTGCGCCACATTTTAAAGTTTTACGTGTCGAGTCATGAAATCGTGAAAATCGCGATTTTCCTTCAGTACGGAGCAACCAACATACCGAAGACCCAACTCGGAGAGTCACGAGACAACGAAACGACTGTTCGAGAGAGTATCTACACCAGATCCGACATCCTTGTTTAGTCATGGGTTCTCACCTTCAGTACTGGCAACTTGTGCGGGAGATTCATTGGCCAAAGTTGCCTGGCTCCTCAGTGGCAAAACCCACAAACCAAGCCAGTTCCCAGCACCAAGCAACACAGGAAGCAGGTTCAAGCCCTCTACACTGGCTACACTTATTCAATACACCTAAATTGAATTTCCTAGGCCCCTTGCAAGGTCCCAGAAGTCCCTTTGTGGTTTCCATATACAGTTGAGTCAGCTTTATGCTACTGCTACAAGAGCTGAAAACCAGTGCTTCCCAGGTACAAGCCACACTTCCTCCTGTGGAGACCACAAGAGGTACCATGTCACTCTACATACCCACAGTGACTCTCCACCATCACGGAAGGCCTTGAAGGCAGAGAATCAAGGAAACAGGCTAGCCCAGAACAACTAGCCACACTTCCCCTACAACCCGAGAGGATACGGTTCATGCCATCATGAAGAGTCTGGATGAGAGCACACCTCTATCGAAGCTTGGCACTACCCTTATAGTCTCATTGAAGAGCACAGTGGTGAATTCGTCAGCTGCTTGACAAGTTCCTTAGTCGAAACCTCGAGAAGATCAAGGAAAAGCAGCTGTCCTAGGCAGAAAGCAGCCGCCTCCAGGACTAGGAGGCACACCGGTACCACGCATCTCCCAAGCATTGTGGGGAGTTGCCTCCACTAGTGTCAAGCCCACGCAGCGGCGACTGCCAGAGGCCCTTTGCTTCCAACAACAAAATCAATGTAGCCAACATTCCACCGACTGGGCATCCAACTCCCAAGTCAGACTGTGGGAAGTTGCACGTCATTCGCCCTTCGTCGTGCCACAGACAACCACCAGCCCCTTCCAGCCCAGCTGTGGGGAGTCGCCTGCCACTTGTCTTTTGCAAGTTACAGCGGCCAACACCAGCTGCCCAATGCCACGCCCTTGTTTGCTCCGGTGCAACCATTTCCCTAGCTGGTGCTCCCATGCATCACTGGGTGATGGGAGATACAGAGCTGCCTACCTCCACACTCCAGCAGTCACCCAACTTCTACATTTTTGGGCTTTAAGTGGGGAGGCCAGAACTGTACCCACAGCAACAGTGATTCTAGCAGGACGATTCCACCATCCAAGGAAGTCCCGCCTTGTAATCGATACAACGTTGTCCTTCCATCAGACCGCAGTCCTTTGGCAGCAGACGAAAACCAGCCCATGTTATCTCAGTTGCATCAAGGCAAAGGCAACCAACTCGTTTCTAGCAAGCCACCTCTCTTTGGTACCCAGTGCACCAGGCTCGTGCCAAATGAGAGGATCCTTTGCAAGCAAGTGCACGCCCAAAGCAGGATGCTTTCAAGCAGACAGCTTCAGGGCAGCGCAACAATCAACCTTGGCTGGAGATCCAAGTTTCCACCACGTCGAACGACACCAAAGATCCCCAGCTCGGTACATCCCGGACCACCTCTCTTTGGTACTCCCAATACCACCAGGCTTGTGCCGAATGAGAGGATCCTTTGGCAGCAATGCCATCCAGTCGACACAACGGTACAGCAGCCACAGCCCAACTACAGGAAAGCCAGGTCCAAGCACCAAGGTCTCAGTCTCCTCTGCTCCAAGGCAATGGGGAGTTCCAGTGTTTGGCATGTGGTTCCATCATGTGTTTGCTTTCCATGATGGCCCATAGGATTGGAGCCCTCAGTCTGTGCTGCTAGCACCGTCCTGGATTTTCGGACGGGCAACTAGACTACGTCCCTGTCTGGTACAGCCCATCCCCCATCCGTCAAGGGACATGATTGCGGGGCAAGAAGGCCGCTCCACTGAGAGCTTGCCCCGCTGAATTCGGCCTGTGGCAAAGCCACGAATATTTGTCTACATGTGAAGAAAACAAACAACAGCTATGATAGCAACAGCACCGCCGGCACCTACCGAGTCTGGCCATGCTGATGAGCACGCAATCCCTTTGCGCCTACTTTGGTCCAGCAACCACAACCATGCAAGTCCCTCCACTTGTGAGATCTCCAATCTCACATTGTGTTCCACTAGCAAGCCGATGCTGAGTGGCCCATGAATGTTCCGTTCATGGGGAGGAGTATGTATTGTAGTTAGTTAGTAACTAGTCGTATATCGTGGCATCCCATGAGAGCGGATCCATACGCACTCGTGGGGAGCGATAAATCTAGGAGCGAGAGCTCTGGATCCGTCAGAGATAGCTCAAACAGCTATGCTGGCCTACAGCTCGCACCCACAGCTGGCTTATCTCCAGCAAAGCAGCAAGAAAGGATCGTCCTTTCTACCATAGTTAAGAAAATAGTACGAAAGTTGAGACCGATCCTGATTAGCTTGTAGCCCTTTGATACCGCAGCAGTTGATACCAACCTGTTGAGGCGGGCAGAAGCAGTAGGAGGTTAGCAGATAGTACTGTTCCCAGACTGCCACTGCACGATTGAATAACGAAGGCCACCAGCTCCTGAGGTGAGCTGGCCCAAAGGGTCCAGCAGAGAGCTCTGCTGGCCTCCTGTCTGACTGACAGGGCCAAGTCCTTGGTCTGGTGCCTACTGGAGGTGTTGGAATACTCCTGAGGCACGACAAGGCTCCCTGAACTGCCTGACTACCGCTGTACCTGAGGAAGGGTTTCAGCGAGGTCCAGTCCACAACTTGAGTATTGGAACTGATCCTTCTAGAAACTTGCTGTAGGAGGCAACAAAACAAGATCCATTCTCACTGAGTACGGATCGATAACTCAAGGGCAGATGAAAGCTCATGCTGAGATTTATCAGAAGGAGGATAATAGGAAGCGGCAGGCAGCCAAGATATTGGAGGCTCTCATTGCCAACAGCATCGAACAAGATGTGTTCGACGAGCTTGAGCAGCGGGAAGACAAATACACGGTGAAAGTAATTCCTGATGGGATGACGGCGCAAGTCAGCAGGCAAGACGGGCCGATGATGTTGTATCAGCTCGTTTGCATGGTGTGTGTCGACACTCTAGCAACGGTATCTACCATCCTGGAGCTACTCTCAGTCGCAGGACTAGTACAAGCCATGACGGACGCTGATTCAGACATTAAAATATTTAATAGGAAAGTGAACTCCCTTATCATTTCTTTAAGGGCAAGGCAAGAGGCGATTCCGAGTCTCATCGCTCCACTGTTCAAAGCTTATCAGTCATGTGAAGACAAAGCATTTGCGCACTATTTTAAGAGGAAACAAGAACAGTATGAGGATAGGTCGCTTACGGAGCCATTGGAGCACGCGGCATTGATTCGAATGGCAGGCGAACGATACAAGATTATAGTGGACAAGAAGGAATGGAAGATGAAATCCGAAGACGAACTAAAGTTCATTGCACTGAAGGCCACTGTAGAACAACAGAACAAGCAACTCACTCAAAAGCCGATGCAAAAGGCGAGACAGCCCCAGCAAAAGGAGAGACAAGGGCCCAACAACATCGGAGAATGGGCTTGGAAGTCAGTCGCCCCAAAGGAAGGGGAACCAAAAGAGAAGAAGTTCCGCAACAAGCAATACATCTACTGCCCGCATCATGGCGATACAAAGTGGGTATTGAAAGTGAACAGGCAAGGAGTAATCCATGCGACTAACTGCAGGGCAAGACTAAAGGGCGATACGACGACGTCGCTTACGGCGGCCACCGAGGATGAAAGCGATTCGCACTCGAGCGACGCGGGTACCCCGTCTAAACGAGACATTAGGATTGCGCAGGCACTCACATCAGTTCTGGAGGAAGAGCTATCTGGCATTACTGAGGACGAGAACCTATTGACTCCCGGTCAAAGGTGAGATGTGCACGGACCATCCGCGAAGGATAAAGAGCGACCATATGGCTTTTGTGCAATGATGGCACTAATGCTCGTGACAAAGCTCATCGCGGGATGGACGACAGTACGGTATTCATTGTTAAACACCCATAGTAACGTAATCCCATTTCCAACTCTACTCATAATGACGCTTCATTACACATCAACGAATGTGCTGAGGTTGACGAGAGAACAGAACCCCTTTGGATTGGAGCACGTGACTAAGTCGATTACGACAGTCATCAGGATGCTGCTATCGCAGATCCTCCTAGTTGGAATTGTTGCAGTTCAGGCGACATTCCAAATGATGGCATGGCTAATCGCCGACATGGATTTTGTGCTACCAGTGATACTATCGAGTATGCTGGTACGTGGAGCATGGACATGGCTGATGTCATGTCACGAGAAGCCGGAATACGTGCCTAAGAGGCATAAACTGAAGGCAAGATTGAAGAGAGTCCTCCACGGAGCAAAGGAGGCACCAAGAAGTTTTGTCGTTTACGCGACAGAGCGAACCGAGCACTACAGAAAGAGAGCAAAGGCAACGAAGAATTGGGTCAACAAACGATTGACCGACAACAGAGCATGGGCAAGAGCAACTGCCGAAGCAACGAGCAAAGATAGGAGGCGGAGCAAATACCGGACACTAATGAAGATTCCGTTCATCGGTGTCATGATAGGTGTCAGCCTGCTAGCTACAGCACACGGAACGGAACAGCCACTCGCATTGCAAACGATAATCGAGTCGCTCACGGCAACAGCAGGAAGATCACCTAGAGCGTCAGGACACAGATATGATTCGGACTCGTTCTTGATCGCGGTAGACAACTGCTCATCAAGATGCATGACCAACGCAATGACGGACTTCATCTACCCTCCAGTCAGGGTGGACGTCAAAGTGACAGGAATTGGTGGAGCAGGATCAGCGACATACAAGGGTACAGTCAAGTGGGAGATACAAGACGACACAGGAGTGTCGCACTAATGGATCATACCCGACACCTACTATCATGAGCACTCACCATACAGATTGCTATCGCCACAGCATTGGGCACAAACCCGTCAAGAGGGAAATGGAACAGTATGCATCACGTACCATGACGCTGTTAAGCTGTTCTGGCATGACTGTCGATATGTAAAAACAGTGATCCTAGACGGAGCAACGAATATAGCGCTCATAAGGTCAAAGCCTTCATACGATCGATTTAATGCATTCTGCACGGCCATATCGGACACTGACGAGTGCAGAATCCTGGACGAAACCGAACTAATGTCGATGCCGGCTGCGCAACTAGTATCAGACGACGAGGAGCTCACGGACGATGACATGTCGGAGGCTAGCGAAGGCATCAGAGAAAGGAGACATCCGGACCTGCCGGACGTTCTATTCGATGAGCTCGACCACGACGATGAGTTCCGCAATAATGCAAACACCAATCCCGCTCGACCAATCTACAGCGTGGTGCCAGAGGATGAGGATGTCCAGCAACAAACCCCTCAAGCTCAATTCCTTGCGCTTCACTACAAGCACGCGCACTTGTCGCCTGAGAAGATGCAAGCACTAGCAAGGAGAGGTCAGTTGCCGGCGGCCATACTCAAATGCAAGATGCCTAGATGCAGTGCATGCATGTTCGGAAAGGCAACCAGGAAGGCATGGAGGACGAAGGCACCGATCAACTCCTTCTCCACTCCTAACCCTGACTCACCAGGAGCAGTGGTGGCGATGGATCAGCTGATATCATCGATACCAGGGCTTATCGGACAAATGAGGGGATTCATTACCCGCAAGAGATACCTGGTCACGACCGTGTTTGTGGACCATTACAGCGGACTGTCCTACGTCCACAATCAGCTATCAACTGGGGCAGGGCATACCATCGAGGCAAAGGAAGCCTTTGAGAGATACGCGAGGTCCCACGGTGTGACTATCAGACACTACCATGCGGATAATGGGATATTCGCGAGTAAGGAGTTCATGATGCACGTGCAAGTGTCTGGGCAAACCATCTCCTTTTGCGCAGTCAATGCCCATCATCAAAACGGTAAAGCAGAACGATGCATCAGGGACCTGCAGGAGTCCGCTAGAACGATGCTATTGCACGCTAAGCAGAGATGGTCAGAAGCCATAGAAGCAAATCTGTGGCCATTTGCGATTCGCATGGCAAATGACGTGAGAAATGAAGCACCAATGAGAGGTCGGGAGTCATCCCCGATCGAGCTGTTCTCAGGGGTGGAAGTAGAGCCGAAGCTGAAGGACCGACACACGTTCGGATGCCCAGTGTACGTTCTCGACGAGAGATTACAGGCGGGAAAATCGGTTCCGAAGTAGAAGAACCGAGCGCGGATTGGCCTTTATTTAGGACACTCGGTGAGGCATTCGCGAAAAGTTGCGCTAGTCCTCAGCCTAACAACAGGACATGTGTCACCGCAGTTTCACTGTCAGTTTGATGATCTGTTCGAGACGAGAAGGAGATCGGCTGGGAATCCGAGAGCGATATCCTTGTGGCAACAAAGAACTGGGTTCGACCAAGCACAAGAGGAGAGCATCGACAAGCTGGATTTCCGAGCATCGAAGCGGCAACAACAGGAATATGCAACTGGCACCGATGGATTACAAGAACACGATCAAATCGTGGATGCAGAGGCCGCGAATCAAATGCAGGATGAGCGACCAGGAACAAGCCAGCAAGCTGCTCGAATACTCGCGGAGGATTTTGGTATTGCTTTGGGACGAAACGAGAGCCAACATCATTTACAAGATGACAATGACGGATCGACGGGACAGATTAACGACGTCGGAGAGTGTGAAGTTCCGACTACAATTGGTCCGCAGCTACGTAGGTCGCAAAGGAATCGTCGACCGACCGAGATAATGAAGCAGTCGATAGAGCAAGGAACGATGAACGCATTTTATGTTCCATGGGATGTGTTCCACGATGACTCGCTGAACCTGCAGGACGATATGCAGAACCCGCTGCAGTATTTCGAAACAATCAACAACGACGTGATGTCGTACAACGAGGCAACTGACCTAGTCACGTTCGCGGCATCGTCCAATCCAGACATCATGTACTTCGACCAAGCGATGTCAGCACATGACAAGGACGAATTCTTCAAGGCCATGAAGAAGGAAATCGACTCGCACACGGACAACAATCATTGGACCGTGGTGAGCAAGAGCGAAGTGCCAAAGGGAACGGACATACTTCCCGCAGTTTGGGCATTCAGACGCAAGAGAAAGATTGCGACGAACGAGATATACAAGTGGAAGGCCAGGATCAACGTCCATGGTGGTAAACAGAAGCTAGGAATCAACTACTGGGAGACATACTCACCAGTTGTGGGATGGTCCACGATACGATTGTTCTTGATTCTGATGATACTCAACAAATGGCACTCCAAGCAAGTCGATTTTGTGCTGGCATTTCCACAAGCCGAAATAGAGTGTGACATGTACATGCAGATTCCAGTCGGATTCGAGTTTGATGGCGACAGGAAGAGCCACGTGCTGCGACTCAATCGCAACTTGTATGGGCAAAAGCAAGCTGGAAGAGTGTGGAACAGATTCCTGCACGACGGTTTAGTCGCCAGAGGATTCGTCCAGAGCGACGTTGACATGTGCGTCTACTATAGAGGGTCCGTCGCACTAATGATTTACGTGGACGATGGGATCTTCATTGGACCATCGCAAGACGAGATCCAGGAATGCTACAATCTGCTGTCAAGGGAATTCACCGACGCAAGTGGGCAAAAGCACCGAGGATATAACATGACCGACGAAGGAAATCTGAGTGACTATCTTGGCATGAAGATAGAACCACTACCAAACGGGACGATCAAGCTGTCGCAACCGCACCTAATCACGGGCATACTGAAGGATTTAGGATTCTTGGACGACGCGGCAGGGGCCACGAACAGAACGAAAGGCAAGCCAACGCCTGCCCCATCGAGCCAACGACTCAGCAGAGATATTCACGGAAAGCCGTATGACGAAAAATGGCACTACAGAGCTGTCGTTGGCAAACTGAACTTTCTGGAGAAGTCGACTCGACTGGACATTGGATACTCGGTGCATCAGTGCGCAAGGTTCTCAAATGATCCTAAGGAGTCACATGCGCAAGCCATCAAGTACATCGGAAGATACTTGGTGGATACCCAAAAGAGAGGCATCATATTGAATCCGAGAGACCACTCCTTCGATTGCTGGGTTGATGCTGATTTTGTAGGCAATTGGAACAAGCTAGATGCAGAGGTGGATCCAAGCACGGCTAAGTCTCGAACTGGGTATGTCGTCATGTACGGATGCTGTCCAGTGGTATGGGGTTCGAAGTTACAACGAGAAGTGGCATTGTCGACAACTGAAGCCGAATATATGGCAGCATCTGAGAGCCTACGGTCAGTGATCAATCTGATGGAGCTATTGGAGGATTCCAAGAGGATAGGCTGGGATATGACACATGCAGCACCAAAGGTACACTGCAAAGTATGGGAAGACAACTCTGGAGCATTAGAGATGGTCAGACTTCCAAAGATGCGTGCAAGAACTAAGCACATCAATGTCAAGTATCATCACTTCCGAGAGCACGTTCGTGCCGGGAAGATATCAATCCACAAGGTTACCAGTGCGCATCAGCTTGCTGATCTATTGACGAAACCACAACCACGACAACTATTCGAGGCTCAGCGCGAAGGCATCATGCAATGGGACGCCGAGTTTCTCACAGCTGAAGAACTATTGCTACCTGCCAAGCATCTGAGGGCATGTGAGATTATAGAGGGTATAGCTCACCCTGCACAATCATCTAAGTGAAACAGCATGCAAGGCAGTACACAAGCCTGGCTTTGGGTTAATAGCAAGGCAACAGACCAACTGCAATAAACAGCATTTGGAGATCAAATAGACAAAATAGCGCTCTAAAGTAAGCTCACAATTTGATAATCTTTCAATGGGAGCAACGGGGATGTTGTCCGCAGAATAATTAAGTATCATGCACATCTTTGTTATCAGATTGCAGCGTTCTTGGCCTACAACGATATCAGGGATAGGAGTGGAGACATTCTGTCAGGCTTGCCGGATCTGCTTGATACTTGCTCCCATGACGACTTTCAATTGCACATGTCATTCCGAGATTCAGAGTATTCACCATTGCCTGCCAGTAAAGAGTTCCTCGAGGCAATGGACCAGGGTTCAGAAGAAGCAGCTACCTTGGCACCATTTGCCATTGTGGGGGCTGAGTACAGCAGTACCAGTGGTTATATCAATTCGTTGGCTAGCGTCTATGAGATACCAATGGTTTCAGGAAGTGCCACAAGCAAAAGCCTGGATGCTAGACCCTTCTTTGGGAGAACTATTCCCACCAATAAAGGAGACGCCTTTGCTGCCATGACATATTACTCCGCGTTGGGAATCACGCATGTGGCATGTATCTATGACGCTGGAAATTGGGGGAGAAACTACAATGCCGATTTGAGACTAGCAGCACAGCTCCGCAACATAACCATGCTGAACATACCGATCGAAGGACGTGACAAAGCAGATGTAGAAAAGGCGGTTATCGCCTTCAAGAACTCTGGCTTGCATCATGTCATCGCCCCTATGTTGCTGATTCACACATATCCCACATTTCAGTTGGGACATGACTATGGAATCATGGGAGCCAGTGCCAGCGGCAGATACAGCTGGATCTTCCCGGAATTCTCTGCTATGGCATCACCAAGCTATGACTTTCCCAAGGACGCGGACTTCGACGATATTGCAACAGCTCACAATGGAGTCGCAAGCTTGGATCTGCACCTCGACAAACATGAAGCACTGGAAAAGGCATTGATCGAATTCACCCAGAACACCGCCCTGCAGAAAGAATTCATATCGATGCACCATCAGCCAGAACTGTTTCAAAACTTCACCTTTTCGCCACTCTTCAATTTCAAATCCTACCTATACTATGATGCTGTTGTTGCCTTGAGCTTGGCTGCCTGCAACACACCAGGCTTGTTCACGGGTCCAGAGGTCTATTCCCAATTTCTGCAAACGGAATTCCAAGGAGTCTCTGGGTTGGTGCAATTCGACAACCAAACAGGGACACGCAACTTCAATACAGTCCAATATAGAATTGACAACATCCTGTTGAGTGCGAACCGAAGTACTGAGACACACTACCGATATGACAGTCACATTGCTGCCATTGCGGGATCCAAACATGTCGAGTTTCCGGAAGCATTTGTGTATGCAGATGGCTCTACCATTGTACCTCCTTCGATTCCACCTGTGCATCATGAATACAACAAGATTTCACTCTGGGCTCTGATCCTTGGTTGGACAATGGCTGGATTGGTGCTGTTATTCTCCGTGCTAGCCATGCTCTGGACTGCACACAATCGGAATGTGTTTGTTGTAAAAGCTGCACAGGTACGTGCACGAAGTTGTTGTGTCACTCCCGTCTCTGCGTCTCATGATGATATCGTGGAGGCTCACATGTGACTTGTTTCCTGTGTCTCGCAGCCGGTTTTCATCCTCCAGCTGTGCGTTGGCACGATCGTCATGGCATGTGCTGTATACCCATTGAGTATGCAAGGAGAGGAACCATCCCCCAAACTAGACAGGGCATGCATGGCGTTTCCTTGGCTTTTCTTTTGTGGGTTTGTCATTGCATTCAGTGCCGTCCTGGCAAAGACATGGAGGGCCAATAAACTCATCAACTCAGGCCGTGGGATGCGACGTATCACAATCAACGCACAGGACGTGATATTGCCTTTTGTCGTTCTTTTGACAACCAATATAGCGCTGTTGACAGCTTGGACTGTTGTGTCTCCCTACACATATGTAATTGAAGACATGCTGGACTACGATAGCTTTGGTCGCAGTTTGGAGAGTTTCGGAGTGTGCCGGTCAGATCATGCTCTTGCTTTCCTGGTGCCAATACTGATTGTGAACTGCTGTGGAGTCATGGCTGCTGCCTATCAAGTGTACATGGCACGCGATCTACCAACACTCTTCAGTGAGAGCAAGGCCTTGATGCTCTGCGTTGGCAGCTTGATCGAGACGTGGTGTTTGGGTGGGCCAATTTTGATCGTTGTGTGGAAAGATCCAACAACCCACTTTGTCGTCCTTTCGGCCTTGATTTGCATCACTTGCTTGACCATCCTGGTTCCAATCATCGTCCCCAAGTACCGAGCGCGGCGTCGACGTGAGAATGGTGCACGAGCCGCACCAGCAGCATTATTGTCGGTAGCTTCTACTCACTCCAATATACAAGGAAGCAGCAGGCTAGGCGGCAGGATATTGATGGGAGCAGGTAGCTCCTCGTTGGGCGGTCAAAATGCGACCAGGGACAATGCAGTTGACCGAGAGCTTATGGCACTAGCGAACAAACAGGGTTTAATGGCCATAACGAGAAAGCCCCATGCTGCAAGCTTGGATGGTTCTGACCATTCCCGACGGTCCAATTATTCCTTACACCAGCCAAAGGCGTCCAAAGTTCCCTTGCATCATCAGAAGGGTTCGTCCAGAGATTCCTCCTGTGTGTAAAGACAGGCTACGCATTTAATTTTAAGAGTATCTGGTGATGGGGTTTTCAGCAAAGATTACCTCAACCATCGAAGACATGTTGGCTCGTGCCAAGCAGAAGAAGAACATCTCTAACGTTACTCTACATTTCTTCAAGGGCGAAAGGATCTTGGGCATCTGGTAGGGGTTGAGAGTACGTTTCTTGCGATGAAAACTGTGATGCTGCTGCCTGCGACAGCACATCTTCCAAAGCGCCATCGCTGTCATCCTCGTCATGTTTTCTCCTCTTTTGTTGTTTCTTGGATGATCCTGGTTGCTTCTGGTTCGTTCGTCTTCGTTTTCTTCTCGTTGCACCCCTAGACGAAGAGTCGGAACGTCTACGACACTGGAGGGAGACTTCTTCATCCAATTCAGTCACAAAGCAATGGATCTGAGCGGCATTGGCATGACACTTGTATGCCATGTACTCCACTAGACGCGTGTAGCAAACATGAAACGGATTCGCCGTCATGTCTGCTCTCAAGTGGTTTTGAGGATCCCTGGAAACAAGTGTGTGGCGTTTCGTGTCGGGGTAGGAAAGGTATGGAGTGAAACCGTCCTTGGTGCAACGAAAGAGCATCCGTTGTTCCACACTCGTTCGCCCGGGTAACAGGACTGTGGCAGTATCTTTTCCCTCCACGTCGTTCTCGCTGTCGTTCTGGGCGGCGTCGTAAGGGTGTTGATCGTTCTTCTCGGTGGCTCCAGACGGGTCAATGTCACAGTCGCCGTCGATACTCTGTGGTTGTGAATTATTATTACGTGTGGAGCCATCGCTTGGATTGGCTTGTTGCTTGCCCGAAATCGCCTTTTCGAGTACGGCCGCAAAGGCCGGAAAAGCACTCTGTTGTTCCTTGCTTTTATTATTGTCCATGAGATTTTCTTCCAAGAATTCTAGATATCCCTTGACATGTGCATTCCGCATCAGTCGAAATTGACCTTCGTTCCAGGGAACAAAACGGCCACCCTTTGTTGCTGGAATCTTATCATTGTTCCCGCCAACACTAGTAATATACTGCCAAGTCTCCCATCCCGGACACATTTTGCACGCCGCGACAATGACCCCCAATGCCTGCTCCGGCGTCCGAATGCACCGTGGTCGAGCGCCTTGTAGCCGTGGAGGCAGCCACACGTCGTCGTCCTGTTGGTTTTTGTTGTGGTGTCCAATCAAACTAAGGGCAATATCTAGCACGCGTTGTCCTAGTCCCAGGTCGGCAACCAACTGTGCCAGCATTGTTGGTGTGGATGCCAACGGGACAAATCTCAGTCGCTTTTGTTCTTTTAGGACACATCCTTTTGCATTATCCTCTTCATCCGAAGAATTGCAATACTGTGGCAGTTCGGGTGTCGATTGCAGTCCCTGAACGATAGCCAACTGAGCCGCCGTGGATTCCACTGTCCAAGCACTGGGGAGGGTGGATAATTGAAAGAAACTCTTGAGTGGCAATAGTTTGACTTGCTGGTCGTGTTCCAGAAAGGCACCAAAGGCATTGAGTAACGGCAAGGATCCATTGGAAATCCAGTTTACGATACTACCGGGAATAATGCCCCGTCGGGCCAAGGGCAACCATAGAATGGCAGCTGCCAGTTCCATGGACGGCGCGAGGCTTAGGGCCGCTTCTTCTCGTCCCTTGTTGCGAAACGAGCTGGCCAAGTGCTGTAGATTCTTCCATTGTCGATTCATGGTATTTTTGGGCAGGGTGCTTATTATTGGCATGTCATGGATGGGTGAGTTGTTGCTTGTATTTGCATTGCTGGTGATGTCATCATGATGGTTGTCGTCTTGTTCTTCTTCTTCGTCAAACGAATCCATTCTCAGCCGCAGCTGCAATGCAATACCCCCTTCTTCTTCATCGTCATCTTCTTCGTCCAATTCCTTCTTGACAGCATCCGCCACAGCTTCCGACAAGACAGCCTGAAGGAGTCCCTGGTGCTTGGGAGACAAAAAGGCATCTCGCAACGAAAAGCGCACATCTGGATAGAGCGCCCCGTACGTTGTGGCTCCATCCTTCCAGGCTTGCAAGTATTGCATCCAAATAGTCTTGACGGCACCATCGTAGGCGTCTTGTTCTTCTTTGGTGTATCCCGTAATGTGACACACGGCTCGAATGCCTCCCTTCAAGACGGATTGAAAACCATTCAAACAGGCTTCCAAATCTGGCAGCGGTTGCGACCGGTCGTAGGTTTCCAGCGGTTGTCGTCGACTACCAGCAATAGTAGAATTGTATTTATTGGTAGCACTAGTACTTGTTCGAATGTTGGTCGTCTTGAGGTTTCCACCCGATCCACGGGCCGCCAGGGCTTGAATGTCGTCATATTCGAGCGCGGTTTGCGATTGGGATTGAATTTGGGATTGGGTGTAGCAATCGCTGCATATCAAGGCACCCGCATCATCCTCGTAATATCGCGTTCCACCGCAATTGTCACAGATAAAATTGTCTTGTGTCGGAACCAAGAATCGGCCCGGATGGTGATCATGGAGTCCTGCTCCTTGGTGATTGATGTCGTCGCCAGCAACATCATCATCGAGGTAGTCGTCATTCTGGAACAGAAAATCCATTTCTTTCTACTGTATAGGTTCCTTTTACACTACGGTACTTCGATACTTCTCCATGGTACCATACCGGTACATCACAGTAGCACTTGCTCTTCACAGGTCAAGGATGCTTCGACAACATGACGAGAAGCTGAGAAGCTAAGCATTTCTGAGTTTTGGGGGGTTATTCGGGAGACGGCCATCAAGGAGGAAACGGTTGGCTGCAGTCGGCCACGGAGTACAATAATAATGCTTTTTGTTATGTAATGATTTTAAGGTGTGATGTTTGTGCGCAATGGGCTAGTTAACAAAATGTTGTACTGTTAGAATACCGTCGACTAGCTAGACGACCCGTACAACTGTACCAGTACAGGACGGTTAAGTAAAAGTTGACTTTGGGGAAAATGGGGTTTTCGAAAGGAAAAGTGTTGAAGTTTTGAATTTTTAGATTTAACAGCACTGAAACTGTTGAAATTGGTTCAACACTGTTGAATCTCCTTTAAACACTATTTCAACAGAGATTTAACACTTTTCAACAGGGATTCAACACTTATTCAACAACTTCCACACTTCCACTGACTATAGATTCAACAGTAATTCAACAGGGTTTCAACACGATTCAACACTTATTCAACAGTTTTTCAACAATAATGAATCTCTTTTCAACACTTTTCAGCATGGGTGAAAAGTAGACAACTTGTTTAAGGATTGGGGAACCTTCAAGTCCAGTTTACCCAAAAATCCAACTTTTTCCACTTTTACTTAACCGTCCAGGTACCGGCACAAGTGCTATCATAATACTACTACTAGCTAGAGTAGTAATAACAAAAAAAGTACGGTAGGAGCGATCGGTTGGAGGGGGTACTACTGGGCAGAACTGGCCTCCCACCAACACGTAACTCCTATGGACAGGTGAAGAGTGCAATGGGTTGAGCCGCTGAGGTGCTCGCTAGCTAGCTATTAATAGTGTTACTACCAGTAGGACGACTGTTGCCGGCTCCCTTTGTCTCCCTTTGATGCTCCTTCCCCCCCTGGGAGCCAGTTTGGCAGCCACCGTGTTTGCAATGAGCGAGCTAGCTACCGTACGATGTACTAGCTAGTACGGTGCTGATGGCTGCAATGTACTGGCTGGTATGTCATAGTTGATGGCTTGTTCAACTCCCCCATCCCCCACAAGGACAAATAACGCGTCTGTGAAGGGTGAAGATGTTACCGTACGACGGTACCGTACAGGCGTTATTCTCTCTGTGCTGTGTACGGTTGGCCTAGCTAGCTATGCATAGTAGCTAGCCTAGCTACCATACTCGTACTGGTACCTTGTGGCTGGCAGTCTGGCAGTAGCCATCGTAGCTATTTTTTAAGTAGTCTAGCTAGCTGGCAGTGGCCATCGATAATCGGATGTTACCGGAAAACTTACACGTATATACCTAGTTGTATGTGCTTGAGGCTTGAGTAAAGCAGCCTTATTGAAGTATTGAAAGATCGAAAGGGTTTTTGTTCTCCGAATTGATTGTAGATTATTGTACATAATGTACGGTTGCATCCAAGGAGTTCTACGATTAGATTTATCGATGCAATGCCACACCGTAGAACCGTAGAACGAACATCTACTAGTACATGTACTGAATCTGTGTACGATGTACGTATCTGTATGTCCATTTGATCCGCACTGCTCCAGTCCGATCTTTGCTCTTGCAGTTGCTCGGGTTTCGGTTTTCGGGGTTTCTTTAGTTCTTTGCCTTCTCTTTGTGGCTTTTTTCTTTTTAAAGGACACCGGAGGTGTAATAGATATACCGGGCGAGCTGAATTAAAAGATGGGCCGGCATAGTAATATTGTTGAAGTTTGGCTGAAGGTAGTGTCATTAGATTTTTCCATCTGAGAAAGTGGTGTGGTAGCTGACGGGAGTTTAGAGGTGTGCAACATGAGATGTTAGATTTTTCCGTCTGAGAAAGTGGCCTGGTAGCTTACGGGAGTTTAGAGGTGTGCAACCTGAGACGTTAGATTTTTCCGTCTGAGAAAGAGGCGTGGTAGCTTACGGGAGTTTAGAGGGGTGCAACGTGAGACGCTAGATTTTTCCGTCTGAGAAACGGGTGTGGTAGCTTACGGGAGTTTAGAGGTAAAACGCTAACCCTAAGGATAAAAAAACCAACCAAAACAACCAAACCACCACCACAATAAACGGGGTCAGAGATCACCGGGGTCTGCCCGGTATATTCTTTGGCTGTTCTGTCATCGCCTGGTCGTCTAACAACGGTCATGCACAAAAATCAATTCTAGCTGACCAGCCTATCTCATCGAACGGACTGAAGCGATGAAGGACCGAAGCAATGCAAAAGTGGAGCTGTCCCAAGCAATGGAACATGAATATCCATCGAGAAGGAAGGAAGAGGAGAAGTGCTTGGCACAAGAGGGATTCGAGGACGTCGTGGATGTTGACGACATTATGACTCGCATGATGAAATCTGGCACCAACAGCAACAGCAACACCAACAACGGCGCCAGGCCAAGCGTACAAGTGGATCTCGATGAGTTCATCCGGTTGGCAGGACAACCAGCCCCCATTCCAGAGGCCATAAACCAGAATGAAGGGACACCGAAAGAAGCACAACCAGGTGCATACCGTCATGTAGGTCCTGGGTATCGGCCAGCTAGTGTTCACTCGGAATCAAGTGACGGCGAAAGCTGCCCAAGTCCCAGTCCCTTGGCTGTGGATGACACATCACTTATTAGTAGCAATCAAACCAACCATCAGCTTCCGCTGATAACAACAGATGCTTCTTTGCCTTTGGATGGCCTGGTACAAGCGAATCCAGTAGTGGAAGAATCCTCGGACGAGATTGTCGTCACACGACAGCAAGCCATACTCGTTGATGATCTGGAGTCGCAAAACCAGACACGAAAGAAGGAAGAGCGCAAAACCAAAACAAGGAATCAGCTGGGGCTGTTGGCTTTTCTGATGGTCCTACTAGTGGTGTTCGTCATTGTTGTAATAGTTGTAACTTCGAAGAACGGCGACCAGGCCAGGGTTGACGACAACATCGAGGTCCAGTCCAGCAAGAATGACACCATGCCCGCCACAGAACACAATGATGACAATGATGTCTTTCCCGTCATCAGCCCTATCTGTCCAACGTCACTCGCCATGTCATTGAACAAGAACGACATGGGGGTGCCAGTGCCTCCTCCTCATCATCATCATCAAGCCCACAGTACAGAGCATATCGATGGCTCCAAGATGATCCTTGGAAACAAAACTATACGACCCTCCGCCTTGTACAACGATTCGCATTGGCTACTTTATACTACGCCACTGATGGTGACCAGTGGGAAAACCATGGAGTGGGAGGTATGCAAACAGTTGACTATCGAGAATTTGAAACCCCTCGCTTGCAAGCCAATCTTCCAGGTCCGATACCACCCAACCGCATGACACTGACGGTCCCATCGGAGAAGTGGCTTTCCTACAACACCAGTGAATGCATGTGGTTTACCTACACACCCTTTAGATTCCAAGCTGCTTGCAATGAGGACCACGTGTTTCAGTACTTGGACCTGCCTCGAAATGGGCTTCGGGGGACGCTGCCTGAAGAGATTGGTCTCTGACAGGCCTTCAGAGTTTCCACTTCTATAGAAAACGGGAGAGAGATGTAATGGGCCCTCAAGCTTGTTTCTTCCCACTATGACAGCTCTCAGCTTGGGCCAGCTTTGGCAGATCATGTCATCATAAGAAGAAAAGAAGTTCCCACTCAGTTCATTGCGGTCAATCATGAGGTTTACCAGGTTGGACATTCCTAGTAATTCAGTTGGGAGTGGCCCATGGAGCTGGTGTTCATGACCTCAACTTGACAACATTGGCAGCAACCAAGCTCACTAGGCAGCGTTCCGGTGATTTGATTGTCTCCTAGCTCAATCGTTTGGAGCTGCTGGAGTGCACCAATGGAAGTTGGAATGGGGCCCTGGATGTGTTCG